TCGTGTGAGGGGGTTATGGCAAGTAAGTCTAGTGGTGAGGGGTTATGGCAGTAGTCTATTGTGAGGGGTTTATGGCAGTAGTCTAGTTTGAGGGGTTTATGGCAGTAGTCTAAGTGTGAGGGTTTAGGGCAGTAGTCCCTAGTTGGTGAGGGGTTATGGCCAGTAGTCTAGTGTGAAGGGGTTATGGCAGTATTCTAGTGTGAGGGGTTTTATGGCAGGGGAAACAGTGTTGCAGTAGTCTAGGGGTGAGGGGTTATGGCAGGGAAACAGTGTTTGCAGTAGTCTATGTGAGGTTTTATGTCAGGGGAAACAGTTTGCAGTAGTCTGTGTGATGGGTTAATGGCAGTTAGTCTAGTTGAGGTTTGGGCAGTAGTCTAAGTGTGATGGTTATGGCAGTAGTCTAGTGTGAGGGTTTGGCAGTAGTCCTAGTGTGAGGGGTTAGCAGTAGTCTAGTGTGAGGGGTTTTGGCAGTAGTCTAGTGTGAGGGTTTATGGCAGTAGTCTAGTGTTAGGGTTATGGCAGTAAGTCTAGTGTGAGGGTTATGGCAGTAAGTCCTAGTTGTGAGGTGATTTATGGCAGTAGTCTAGTGTGAGGGTTATGGCATAGCTAGTTTGTGAGGATTATGGCAGTCGTTCTTAGTGTGAGGGGTTATGCAATAGTCTAGTGTGGGGGTTATGGCGCACTCTAGGTGTGAGGGTTATGTCCAGGGGGAAACAGTGTTGCAGTAGTCTATGTAGGGTTTATGGCAGTAGTCTAGTGTGAGGGTTTGGCAGTAGTCTAGTGGTGAGGGGGTTATGGCGTAGTCTAGGGTGAGGGGTTATGGCATTGTATCTAGTTTTTGAGGGTTATGGCAGTAGCTATGTGAAAGGGGTTTATGGCAGTAGTCCTAGTTGAGGGGTTATTGCAGTAGTCCCTAGTGTGAGGGTTATGGCAGTATTCTAGTGTGAGGGTTTATGGCAGGGGAAACATGTTGCAGTAGTCCTAGTGTGAGGGGTTATGGCAGGGGAACAGTGTTGCAGTAGTCAGTGTGAGGGGTTTGGCAGGGAAACGTGTTGCAGTAGTCTAGTGTGAGTGTTTTATGTACATGGGGAAACAGTTTTTGCAGTTAGTCTAAGTGGGTGAGGGGTTATGGCAAGTAGTCTATGTGAGGGGTTATGGCAGTAGTCTAGTGTGAGGGGTTTATGGCAGTAGTCCTAGTGTGAGGGGTTTGGCATAGTCTAGTGTGAGGGGTTTGGCAGTAGTCTCGTGTGAGGGTTAAAATGGGCCAGTAGTCTAGTGTGAGGGGTTATGGCAGTAGTCTATTGTGAGGGTGGTTATGGCAGTAGTCTAGTGTGAGGGGGTTCTGGCATAGTCTGTGTGAGGGGGTTTATGGCAGTAGTCCTAGTGTGAGGGGTTATGGCAGTAGTATAGTGTGAGGGGTTATGGCAGTAAGTCTGTCAGTGTGAGGGGTTATGGCAGGGGAAACAGTGTTGCAAGTGTCTAGTGTGAGGGGTTATGGCGTAGTCTAGTGTTAGTGGTTATGGCAGTAGTCTAGTGTGAGGGGTTATGACGGGGAAACGTTGTTGCAGTAGTCCCTGTGTGGGGGGTTATGGCACAGTCTTTGTGAGGGTTATTGCGTAGTCTATTGTGAGGTTTATGGCAGTAGTCTAGTGTGAGGGGTATTGCAGTGTCAGTGTGAGGGGTTAAGCAGTGTCAGTGTGAGGGGTTATGACAGTAGTCTAGTGTGAGGGTTATGGCATAGTCTAGTGTGAGGGGTTTGGCAGTAGTCTAGTGTGAGGGTTATGGCAGTAAGTTGAGTGTGAGGGGTTATGGCAGTAGTCTAGTGTGAGGGGTTATGGGATAGTCCCTAGTGTGAGGGTTTATGGCAGTAGTCTAGTGTGAGGGGTTTGCAGTAGTCTAGTGTTGAGGGGTTATGGCATTATTCTAGTGTGAGGGGTTATGGCGTAGTCCCTAGTGTGAGGTTGGTTTATGTCAGGGGAAACGGTGTTTGCAGTAGTCTAGTGTGAGGGGTTATGGCAGTAGTCCTAGTGTGAGGGGTTATGGCGTAGCTAAGTGGGGAGGGGTTATGGCATTAGGTCTAGTGTGGGGGTTATGGCATTATCTAGTGTGAGGGGTTATGCATAGTCCTAGTGTGAGGGTTATGCGGGGAAACGTGTTTGGCGTATCAGTGTGGATGGGTTATGGCAGGGGAAACAGTGTTGCTTAGTCTATTGTGAGGGGTTTGGCATTAGTCCTAGTGTTGAGTGTTTATGGCAGTATCCTATGTGGTGAGGGGTTATGCCTAGTCAGTGTGAGGGGTTATGGCAGTAGTCTATTTGAGGGGTTATGGCCGTAGTCCTCGTGTGAGGGGTTATGACAGTAGTCTAGTTTGAGGGGTATGGCAGTATCTAGTGTGAGGTGGTTATTGGCAGTATCTAGTGTGAGGGGTTATGGCAGTAGTCTAGTTTGTGAGGGTTATGGCAGTAGTCCTATGTGTGAGGTTTTATTATGGCAGGGAAAACAGTGTTCAGTATTCTAGTGTGAGGGGTTTATGGCAGGGAAACAGTGTTTCAGTAGTCTAGTTTGAGGTAAGATTATATTACTCTCGTCTGAGTGTGCCAGAGCGCAGAATAACTGACAAATTTACGAACGCTCATCACCCGTTGAATATGGCCGGTGTCAGTAAACATGGCAAAAAAGCGTAATTAAATTGTTGCCAGCAGCACAGTTGCAGTCACCAACGCTCTGGATAACATGAAAACAGCCTAACCAGCTCTGCTAGGGCGAGTAAAATGGTCAGATTGAGATGTTCTCTCATTTGTGTCTGGAAGTAGCTAGCAAGCTAGCCAACGTTAGCTAGTTAGCTTGGGTGCTTGACTGCTGTTGTTAGGTCAGAAAGCTCGGATCAACGCTACTCCTCTTCTTCTTGAAATCTTTGGTCTGAGAGTCCTTTCGGTACCTTTTGGCAAACTCCAAGAGGGCTGTCATGTGCCTTTTACTGAGGAGTGGCTTCTGTCTGGCCACTCTACCATAAAGGCCTGATTGGTGGAGCTGCAGAGATGGTTGTCCTTCTGATAGTTTCTCCCATCTCCACAGAGGAACTCTGGAGCTCTGTCAGAGTGACAATCGGGTTCTTGGTCACCTCCCTGACCAAGGCCCTTCTCCCCCGATTGCTCAGTTTGGCCGGGCGGCCAGCTCTAAGAAGAGTCTTGGTGGTTCCAAACTTCTTCCATTTAAAAATGATGGAGGCCACTGTGTTCTTGGGGAACTTCAATGCTGCAGAAATGTTTTGGTACCCTTCCCCATATCTGTGCCTTGACACAATCCTGTCTCGGAGCTCTACGGACAATTTCTTTGAACTCTTGGCTTGGTTTTTGCTCTGACATGCACTGTCAACTGTGGGACCTTATATAGACAGGTGTGTGCCTTTCCAAATCATGTATAATCAATTGAATTTATCATAGGTGGTCTCAAATCAAGTTGTAGAAACAGCTCAAGGATGATCAGTGGAAACAGGATGCACCTGAGCTAAATGTTGAGTCTCATAGCAAAGGGTCTGAATACTTACGTAAATAAGGTATTTTCTGTAATGTAACAGTAAGTGGAAAAAGTCAAGGGGTTTGAATACTTTCCGAATGCACTGTATACTCATGATTAGATGGAAGGTTATGTATATACTCATGATTAGATGGAAGGCTCTTTATATACTCATGATTAGATGGAAGGCTCTGTGTATACTCATGATTAGATGGAAGGCTCTGTGTATACTCATGATTAGATGGAAGGCTCTTTATATACTCATGATTAGATGGAAGGCTCTGTGTATACTCATGATTAGATGGAAGGCTCTGTATATACTCATGATTAGATGGAAGGCTCTGTGTATACTCATGATTAGATGGAAGGCTCTTTATATACTCATGATTAGATGGAAGGTTCTGTGTATACTCATGATTAGATGGAAGGCTCTTTATATACTCATGATTAGATGGAAGGCTCTGTGTATACTCATGATTAGATGGAAGGCTCTTTATATACTCATGATTAGATGGAAGGCTCTGTGTATACTCATGATTAGATGGAAGGCTCTTTATATACTCATGATTAGATGGAAGGCTCTTCATATACTAATTATTTAATAAATTACTATTATTATAATAACTATAATTATAATAATTATTACTTGAAGCTGATGATGTTGGGTTAGTGTTAGGGTTAGTGGACCTACTTGAAGCCGATGATGTTGGGTTAGTGTTAGGGTTAGTGGACCTACTTGAAGCCGATGATGTTGGGTTAGTGTTAGGAGACCTACTTGAAGCCGATGATGTTGGGTTAGTGTTAGGGTTAGTGGACCTACTTGAAGCCGGTGATGTTGGGTTAGTGTTAGGGTTAGTGGTAGGGGACCTACTTGAAGCCGGTGATGTTGGGTTAGTGTTAGGGTTAGTGTTAGGGGACCTACTTGAAGCCGGTGATGTTGGGTTAGTGTTAGGGTTAGTGGACCTACTTGAAGCCAGTGATGTTGGGTTAGTGTTAGGGTTAGTGGACCTACTTGAAGCCAATGATGTTGGGTTAGTGGTAGGGGACCTACTTGAAGCCGGTGATGTTGGGTTAGTGTTAGGGTTAGTGATAGGGAACCTACTTGAAGCCGGTGATGTTGGGTTAGTGTTAGGGGACCTACTTACATTTAGATTTTAGTCATTTAGCAGGCGCTCTTATCCAGAGCGACTTAAAGTTAGTGAGTGCATACATGTTTATTTATTTATTTTTTCATACTGGCCCCCCGTGGGAAACAAACCCACATCCCTGCCGGCCAAACCCTCCCCTACCTTGGACGACGCTGGACCAATTGTGCGCCGCCCATGGGTCTTCCAGTCGCGGCCAGCTGCGACAGAGCCTGGACTCGAACCAGGATCTCTAGTGGCACAGCTAGCACTGCGATGCAGTGCCTTAGACCACTGCGCCCCTCGGAAGAACTTGAAGCCAATGATGTTGGGTTAGTGTTAGGATTAGGGTTAGTGGACCTACTTGAAGCTGATGATGTTGGGGTGTTTGAGCTTCCTCAGGTGTTTGATGTCAGTCTCCTTCTGCTCGCGGACCTTCTTGATGGCCACCTCATTGCCATGGAGCTTCCCCAGAAAGACAGCCCCCTGCGCCCCGCTGCCCAGCCACTGCAGCTCCGAGATCTCCTCAAACGGGACCTCCCACATGTCTGGAGAGAAGACAGACAGACAGACAGGCAGACATGTTGCTAACGGGACCTCCCATATGGCTTGAGAAGGAGAGGACAGACAGAGACAGACCGACAGACAGACATGTTACTTACGGGACCTCCCACATGTCTAGAGAGGACAGACAGACAGGCAGACAGACAGGCAGACAGACAGACAGACAGACAGACAGACAGACAGACAGACAGACAGACAGACACAGACAGACAGACAGACAGACAGACAGACATGTTACTTACGGGACCTCCCACATGTCTAGAGAGGACAGACAGACAGACAGACAGACAGACAGACAGACAGACAGACAGACAGACAGACAGACAGACAGACAGACAGACAGACAGACATGTTACTTCATAGGCGGAGCGTGAGTTTCAAGTTTGGGGAAGCTTACAATTTATGCTACCATTTCTACCGTTCTGCCAGTTATGATTTTCATATGCACATTTTCATGGAACAGTTCCGTTTCAAAAATTACAGTTTTGTTTCTCAAAATCTTAAAAATCTGAATTAAAATGATACAAATCTAAAAGTTAAAAGTCAACTAATGCGAGATCACCAGCCGCGAGATCACCAGCCTCTGCCCATTAGTTCCTGCCAAGGCAGCAGCTACTCTTCCTGGGGTTTATTATGGATCCCCATTAGTTCCTGCCAAGGCAGCAGCTACTCTTCCTGGGGTCCAGCAAAATTAAGGCAGTTATACATTTATAAAAACATAACAATACATTCACAGATTTCACAACACACTGTGTGCCCTCAGGCCCCTACTCCACCACTACCACATACAGTGGGGAAAAAAAGTATTTAGTCAGCCACCAATTGTGCAAGTTCTCCCACTTAAAAAGATGAGAGAGGCCTGTAATTTTCATCATAGGTACACGTCAACTATGACAGACAAATTGAGAATTTTTTTTCCAGAAAATCACGTTGTAGGATTTTTAATGAATTTATTTGCAAATTATGGTGGAAAATAAGTATTTGGTCACCTACAAACAAGCAAGATTTCTGGCTCTCACAGACCTGCAACTTCTTCTTTAAGAGGCTCCTCTGTCCCGTATTAATGGCACCTGTTTGAACTTGTTATCAGTATAAAAGACACCTGTCCACAACCTCAAACAGTCACACTCCAAACTCCACTATGGCCAAGACCAAAGAGCTGTCAAAGGACACCAGAAACAAAATTGTAGACCTGCACCAGGCTGGGAAGACTGAATCTGCAATAGGTAAGCAGCTTGGTTTGAAGAAATCAACTGTGGGAGCAATTATTAGGAAATGGAAGACATACAAGACCACTGATAATCTCCCTCGATCTGGGGCTCCACGCAAGATCTCACCCCGTGGGGTCAAAATGATCACAAGAACGGTGAGCAAAAATCCCAGAACCACACCTAGTGAATGACCTGCAGAGAGCTGGGACCAAAGTAACAAAGCCTACCATCAGTAACACACTACGCCGCCAGGGACACAAATCCTGCAGTGCCAGACGTGTCCCCTCGCTTAAGCCAGTACATGTCCAGGCCCGTCTGAAGTTTGCTAGAGTGCATTTGGATGATCCAGAAGAGGATTGGGAGAATGTCATATGGTCAGATGAAACCAAAATATTACTTTTTGGTAAAAACTCAACTCGTCGTGTTTGGAGGACAAAGAATGCTGAGTTGCATCCAAAGAACACCATACCTACTGTGAAGCATGGGGGTGGAAACATCATGCTTTTGGGCTGTTTTTCTGCACAGGGACCAGGACGACTGATCCGTGTAAAGGAAAGAATGAATGGGGCCATGTATCGTGAGATTTTGAGTGAAAACCTCCTTCCATCAGCAAGGGCATTGAAGATGAAACGTGGCTGGGTCTTTCAGCATGACAATGATCCCAAACACACTGCCCGGGCAATGAAGGAGTGGCTTCGTAAGAAGCATTCCAAGGTCCTGGAGTGGCCTAGCCAGTCTCCAGATCTCAACCCCATAGAAAATCTTTGGAGGGAGTTGAAAGTCCGTGTTGCCCAGCGACAGCCCCAAAACATCACTGCTCTAGAGGAGATCTGCATGGAGGAATGGGCCAAAATACCAGCAACAGTGTGTGAAAACCTTGTGAAGACTTACAGAAAACGTTTCACCTGTGTCATTGCCAACAAAGGGTATATAACAAAGTATTGAGAAACTTTTGTTATTGACCAAATACTTATTTTCCACCATAATTTGCAAATAAATTCATTAAAAGTCCTACAATGTGATTTTCTGTATTTTTTTTTCTCATTTTGTCTGTCATAGTTGACGTGTACCTATGATGAAAATTACAGGTCTCTCTCATCTTTTTAAGTGGGAGAACTTGCACAATTGGTGGCTGACTAAATACTTTCTTTCCCCACTGTATATACAATACAAAATCCATGTGTACCTTGTGTGTATAGTGCGTATGTTATCGTGTGTGTGTATGCATGTGTCTGTGCCTATGTTTGTGTTGCATCACAGTCCCCGCTTTTCCATAACGTGTATTTTTATCTGTTTTTAAATCTAACTTTACTGCTTGCATGAGTTACATGATGTGGAATGGAGTTCCATGTAGTCATGGCTCTATGTAGTACTGTGCACCTCCCATAGTCTGTTCCGGACATGGGGACTATGAAGAGACCTCTGGTGGCATGTCTTGTGGGGTATGCATGGGTGTCCGAGCTGTGCGCCAGTAGTTTAAACAGACAGCTCGGTGCATTCAGCTTGTCAACACTTCTTACAAAAACAAGTAGTGATGAAGTCAATCTCTCCTCCACTTTGAGCCAGGAGAGATTAACATGTATTTATTAATGTTAGCTCTCTGTGTACATCCAAGGGCCAGCCGTGCTGCCCTGTTCTGAGCCAATTGCAATTTTCTTAAGTCCCTCTTCGTGGCACCTGACCACACGACTGAACGGTAGTTCAGGTGCAAACAAAACTAGGGCCTGTAGGACCTGCCTTGTTGATAGTGCTGTTAAGAAGGCAGAGCAGCGCTTTATTATGGACAGACTTCACCCCATCTTAGCTACTGTTGTATCAATATGTTTTGACCATGACAGTTTACAATCCAGGGTTACTCCAAGCAGTTTAGTCTCCTCAACTCGCTCAATTACCACATTATTCATTACAAGATTTGGTTGAGGTTTAGGGTTTAGTGAATGATTTGTCCCAAATACAATGCTTTTAGTTTTTGAAATATTTAGGACTAACTTATTCCTTGCCACCTATTCTGAAACTAACTGCAGCTCTTTGCTAATTGTTGCAGTGATTTCAGTCACTGTAGTAGCTGACGTGTATAGTGTTGAGTCACCCGCATACATAGACACACTGGCTTTACTCAAAGCCAGTTGCATGTCATTAGTAAAGATTGAAAAAAGTAAGGGGCCTAGACAGCTTCCCTGGGGAACTCCTGATTCTACCTGGATTATGTTGGAGAGGCTTCCATTAAAGAACACCCTCTGTGTTCTGTTAGACAGGTAACGCTTTATCCACAATATAGCAGGGGGTGTAAAGCCATTACACATACGTTTTTCCAGCAGCAGACTATGATCGATAATGTCAAAAGCCGCAAAAAGTCTAACAAAACAGCCCCCAAAATATTTGTATCATCAATTTCTCTCAGCCAATCATCAGTCATTTGTGTAAGTGCTTGTTGAATGTCCTTCTCTATAAGCGTGCTGAGAGTCTGTTGTCAATGTGTTTACTGTGAAATAGCATTGGATCTGGTCAAACACCATTTTTTTAAAAAGTTGACAAAGGGTTGGTAAGAGGTGGATTGGTCGGCTATTTGAGCCAGTCGGTAGGGGAATCACTTTTGCTTCCCTCCAGGCCTGAGGTTGAGGGCACACACTTTCTAGTGGGTGTAAATTGAAGACATGGCAAATAGGAGTGGCAATATCATCCGCTATTATCCTCAGTAATTTTCCATCCAAGTTGCCAAGTTGTCAGACCCTGGTGGCTTGTCATTGTTGATAGACAACAAAAATTGTTTCACCTCTTCCACACTTATGTAACCCTCTCACCAGGCTCGAATTTGACTCTCACAATATTACCTTATTTAGAATATCTGAACAGCATGGGATATTAGGTGAGAAGGACATCTCCAATAAGAATCCCTATTGTAAACTTGCTAGGGTGAATGACAAATAGGGTATTACTTCAGATAGAATGATTATAGACTTGGTTATTATTATAAGGATATGCTTTCCCATGCATTAAATGAAACTGAAACAGTAAATGACTCCACCAATACAACAGACATAAGGTTCAATATCTATATTAATCAAATTTTCAATGTATCACATCAAAATAAATAAAAATAATAAACCCCAATGATTTTTCCACAACCCATGTCCAAATTATTTGCAAGCTTGCTTAAACCCTGGGCGCGCGTTGGAGCTCATAAAAAAATGACGACATACATAAAGTCCTGAAGTCCACCCCACATTTGTAGTTACTCACTACTTGTAGATAATGCCTCAGCAAAATATAGTAGTTCCGTGCAGGTGTCCTCACAAGATCCACAGCGAACACAGCCGTCAATGCAGCCGGTACTCCGTAGCAGCAACAGACATCCGTTGGAAACCCGAACTCGTTGATCGTCACAAGCAATTCTCTCCAAGTCTCGCACGATGCTAGGCTAACCTCTAGGATGTCGAATGTCTCCACAATGCGACGGCAGCTTCAGTCTCCACTAGGTCTTTCTTAACGAAATAATAAACACTCTCTTATAGAAATAAAATCAGGATTTCCCTTCAAAAAACTCTGTAGGTATGGTTTTGTTCTCTCTTTATCGTTTCCTTTGGTCGTTTTTTCCTTCACCAACCCCACTAACTTTTCTCTCCCAGCAACCAGTCCACTCTCCCATTGGCCACAACTTAACAAGTTACCTCATTGGTCAAAACTTTTAACGAGATACGTGGGAAACTTAAACTTAAAAGTAAACCAACCTATTCACTTGTACATTTTTTAAAAACATTGCTTCAAAAGAAATGCATTAATGAAATTACAAATCAGGAGCTATTCGATCACCTTTTAAATCTAATACCAATGAATTATAACAAATAAACTCTATACTTGGTTTTAGCAAGGTATTACACTTACATTACGGAATTCAAAATTACCCAATGCTTGTCTTTCATAATTTGGTCAGATATACTTGGATGTGTAGTGTCAGCGTTTGTTAATGGCATGTAATGCCTAAGTTTGCTAATCTTGCTAATGAAAACATAATTAAAGTAGTTGGCAATATCAGTGGGTTTTGTGATGAATGAGCCATCTGATTCAGTGAATGATGGAGCTGAGTTTGCCTTTTTGCCCAACATTTCATTGAAGGTGCTCCAAAGCTTTTTACTATCATTCTTTATGTCATTTATCTTTGTTTCATAGTGTAGTTTCTTATTTTTATTCAGTTTAGTCACATGATTTCTCAATATGCTGTACGTTGCCAATCGGCTGTACGGCCAGACATTGTATCAATAGTGATATACAGGGGTCCTGCTGAACCCATAGTGTTAAGGAAAGGGGGATATCTAGTCAGTTGTACAACTGAATGCATTCAACTGAAATGTGTCTTCCGTATTTAACCCAACCCCTCTGAATCAGAGAGGTGCAGGTGCTGCCTTAATCAACATCCACGTCTGGGTTAACTGCCTTGCTCAGGCACAGAATGACAGATTTTTACCTTGTCAGCTCTGGGATTCGATCCGGCAACCTTGCAGTTACTGGCCCAACGCTCTAACCGCTAGGCTACCTGCCGCCCAGTTGTACCTTAGTGGAAACCAGATGGCCAGCTGACCAACCACAAAGCCAAACCCATGTCTGTCTGACCACAACCCATATCGTTATGACTAGGCGTGTGCCCAGCTGGTGCAACCGACCCTGGGGGATAGGATTTCACCTTTACCCCCAGTTCACCCTGGGGGATAGGATTTCACCTTTACCCCCAGTTCACTCTGGGGGATAAGATTTCACCTCTACCCCAGGATTTCACCTCTACCCCAGGATTTCACCTTTACCCCCCAGTTCACTCTGGGGGATAAGATTTCACCTCTACCCCAGGATTTCACCTCTACCCCCAGGATTTCACCTCTACCCCCAGGATTTCACCTCTACCCCCAGTTCACTCTGGGGGATAAGATTTCACCTTTACCCCCAGTTCACTCTGGGGGATAGGATTTCACCTCTACCCCAGGACTTCACCTTTACCCCCGGTTCACTCTGGGGGGATAGGATTTCACCTCTACCCTCAGGATTTCACCTCTACCCCCAGGATTTCACCTCTACCCTCAGGATTTCACCTCTACCCCCAGGATTTTCACCTCTACCCTCAGGATTTCACCTCTACCCCCAGGATTTCACCTCTACCCCCCAGGATTTCACCTCTACCCTCAGGATTTCACCTCTACCCCCAGGATTTCACCTCTACCCTCAGGATTTCACCTCTACCCTCAGGATTTCACCTCTACCCCAGGATTTCACCTATACCCCCAGGATTTCACCTCTTCCCCCAGGATTTCAACCTCTTCCCCCAGGATTTCACCTCTATCCCCAGGATTTCACCTCTTCCCCCAGGATTTCACCTCTACCCCCAGGATTTCACCTCTACACCCAGGATTTCACCTCTACCCTCAGGATTTCACCTCTACCCCCAGGATTTCACCTTTACCCACAGTTCACTCTGACAGCTGCATATGAGTAGTAGGCATTTGGCACCATAGGAATGTGTACCTTGTTGCTGCAGCTTGTATTCCGTGCTGTAGGTCTTCCCTATGATATTCCAGACGGGTCTCAGACAGCCGAACAGCCCATCCAGGAACCCCCCTCCTCCCGGTGCTCTGTGGAAGTGCAGTTTGATGTCATCACGGGGGTGAGGCTGGTTGTGTGTTCCAGACCCAGGGTGGTGTTGGTGTATGGGACACATCCCCTCCCCTGTCCCCTCCCCCTCGCCCCCACTGCCACACTCCCCCTGGCCACATGACGTCGGTGACTCCGCCTCCTCGTGCTCCTGCAATTGGAGCACGCTGTTGTCAAAGTGTCTCTGCTCCCGCCCAGAGTCCTCACTGAGCGCTGTGATTGGTGGGCTGGTGCCCAGCATAGCCTCCTCGTCCTGGCCTGAGGGCGGGGCGAGCGTCATCAGGGGAACCAGGAGGTGTGTGGGAGGAGCTAGATCTGTGATGATCTGGGGGGGTAGAGGAAGGGGAGGGGCTGGGGCGTTGGGAGAGGAAGTTTTCTTAACGCCGTCCCCCACCACAGTGTTCTTTAGCTCCTCCTTCAGCTTGCCAACAAGCAGGCTGGGGCACGACGCCCATGACAGCACCTCTGGAGAGCTACCCATGGTGCACTGCGGGAGCATGGGCTGCCCAGCGACGCGGACGGAGAGAGGCCGTTCCTAGCAGGAGGGGTTCTCTGAACTCAGGGAGTCACCTGCAGAGAGAGAGAGAGAGTGAGAGAGAGAGAGAGAGAGAGAGAGAATGGGAGGGGGAGCGATAGAGAGAGAGAGAGAGAGAGAGAGAGAGAGAGAGAGACAGAGACAGAGAGAGAGAGAGAGAGAGAGAGAGAGAGAGAGAGAGTGAGAGAGAGAGAGAGAGAGAGAGAGAGGGTCTGGTTAATAGGAGTACTACAGGGTTAATAGGGTTAATAAAAGTGAAGAGTAGTAGAGAGATCATACAGTAATCATTATCTAAAGTTAGCTACAGAGGACATGTTTATATAAACACCATTAATCCTTCCTCTCCCATCACATCTCAACCTCATGGATCATGGATGTGGGACTGGGGGGACTTATTTGAATAATGATTATATTTAACCCAAAACCCCAAAAAAAAAAAAAAAGGGGGAAAAGAGAGGAGGGGAGGCAAAATTTCCCCTTTTTTTCCCCCTTTTTTTTTTTCCCCCCCCTTTTTTTTTCCCCCCCGCCCCCCCCCCCCCCCCCCCCCCCCCCCCCCCCCCCCTTTTTTTTTTTTTTTTTTTTTTTTTTTTTTTTTTTTTTTTTTTAATTTTTTTTTTTTCCCCCCCCCCCCCCCCCCCCCGCCCCCCCCCTTTCCCCCCCCCTTTCCTCTCTCTTTCCCCTTCTCCTCCTCTCCTCTCTCCCTCTCTATTAATCCAGTGATCAGAGTATTAGGAGATCTGATTTGGGAGCTAAACATCTGGCAGACCTACACTCGGGCTGTCCCAAATGGCTCCCTATTTCCTGTATAGTGCACTACTGTTGACCAGGGCCTATAGGGTATAAAGTAGTGCACTAAACAGGGACTAGGGTGCCATTTGGGATGCTTCATTCAGCCACAGGAAATCCACTGAGCTGCTGCTGCTGCTGCTGCAAACTTAGCAACAGTTTTCCAGCTACCCGGAGTACACACCACATGGAGAACATCCATACAGGCCTAATCTCCCGCTGCAGTTATGCAAGGCCCGGATGGGGACAGGGACAAGGCCCGGATGGGGACAGGGACAAGGTCCCGGCCGGCCCGGATGGGGACAGGGAGGTGTAGAGACAGGGACAAGGTCCCGGCCGGCCCAGATGGGGACAGGGAGGTATAGAGACAGGGACAAGGTCCCGGCCGGCCCGGATGGGGACAGGGACAAGGTCCCAGGCGGCCCGGATGGGGACAGGGACATGGTCCCGGCCGGCCCGGATGGGGACAGGGAGCGAGAGAGACAGGGACATGGTCCCGGCCGGCCCAGATGGGGACAGGGAGGTATAGAGACAGGGACAAGGTCCCGGCCGGCCCGGATGGGGACAGGGAGGTATAGAGACAGGGGACAAGTCCCGGCCGTGCCCGGATGGGGACAGGGAGGTGTAGAGACAGGGACATGGTCCCGGCCGGCCCGGATGGGGACAGGGAGCGATAGAGACAGGGACATGGTCCCGGCCGGCCCGGATGGGGACAGGGAGCGAGAGAGACAGGGACATGGTCCCGGCCGGCCCGGATGGGGACAGGGAGCGAGAGAGACAGGGACATGGCCCGGCCGCCCGGATGGGGACAGGGAGGTATAGAGACAGGACAAGGTCCCCGGCCGCCCGGAGGGGACAGGGAGCGAGGAGAGACAGGGACAAGGTCCGGCCGGCCCGGATGGGGACAGGGAGGTGTAGAGACAGGGACAAGGTCCCGGCCGGCCCGGATGGGGACAGGGAGGTATAGAGACAGGGACATGGTCCCGGCCGGCCCTGATGGGGACAGGGAGGTATAGAGACAGGGACATGGTCCCGGCCGGCCCGGATGGGGACAGGGAGCGATAGAGACAGGGACAAGGTCCCGGCCGGCCCGGATGGGGACAGGGAGTATAGAGACAGGGACATGGTCCCGGCCGGCCCGGATGGGGACAGGGAGCGATAGAGACAGGGACATGGTCCCGGCCGGCCCGGATGGGGACAGGGAGGTGTAGAGACAGGGACATGGTCCCGGCCGGCCCGGATGGGGACAGGGAGCGAGAGAGACAGGGACATGGTCCCGGCCGGCCCGGATGGGGACAGGGAGGTATAGAGACAGGGACAAGGTCCCGGCCGGCCCGGATGGGGACAGGGAGCGAGAGAGACAGGGACAAGGTCCCGGCCGGCCCGGATGGGGACAGGGAGGTGTAGAGACAGGGACAAGGTGCTGTTGGATCTGACAATTAATCTTGATGTACAGTCGTCTCAAATAAAACTGTGAAGGACCTCGGCGTTACTCTGGACCCTGATCTCTCTTTTGTCGAACGTATGAAGAATATTTCAAGGACAGCTTTTTTCCATCTTCGTAACATTGCAAAAATCTGAAACTGTTTGTCCAAAACTGATGCAGAAAAGCTAATCCACGCTTTTGTCACTTCTAGATTTGACTACTACAATGCTCTACTCTCCGGCTACCCAGATAAAACACTAAATAAAGGTGAATGGCAAGGCACTGGAGCGACGAACCGCCCTTGCTGTCTCTGCCTGGCCGGCTCCCCTCTCTCCACTGGGATTCTACTACAATACTCTACTCTCCGGCTACCCAGATAAAGCACTAAATAAAGGTGAATGGCAAGGCACTGGAGCGACTAACCGCCCTTGCTTGTCTCTCCCTGGCCGGCTCCCCTCTCTCCACTGGGATTCTCTGCCTCTGACCCTATTACGGTGGCTGAGTCACTGGCTTACTGGTGCTCTTCCATGCTGTCCCTAGGAGGGGTGCATCACTTGAGTGGGATGAGTCACTGACTTGATCTTCCTGTCCGGTTTTGCGTCCCCTCGTGCTCATGCGGTGGAGGAGATCTTGGTGGGCTATACTCAGCCTTGTCTCAGGGTAGTAGGTTGGTGGTCTGTTGATATCCCTCTGGTGGTGTGGGGGCTGTGCTTTGGCAAAGTGGGTGGGGTTATATCCTGCCTGGTTGTGAAATGTCAGAATAATAGTAGAGAATTATTTACTTCAGCTTTTATTTACTTCATCACATTCCCAGTGGGTCAGAAGTTTACATACACTCAATTAGTATTTGGTAGCATTGCCTTTAAATTGTTTAACTTGGGTCAAACGTTTCGGGTAGCCTTCCACAAGCTTCCCACAATAAGTTGGGTGAATTTTGGCCCATTCCTCCTGACAGAGCTGGTGTAACTGTGTCAGGTTTGTAGGCCTCCTTGCTCGCACACGATTTTTCAGTTCTGCCCACAAATGTTCTATAGGATTGAGGTCAGGGATTTGTGATGGCCACTCCAATACCTTGACTTATTTGTCCATAAGCCATTTTGCCACAACTTTGGAAGTATGCTTGGGGTCATTGTCCATTTGGAAAACCCATTTGTGACCAAGCTTTAACTTCCTGACTGATGTCTTGAGATGTTGCTTCAATATATCCACATAATTTTGCTTCCTCATGATGCCATCTATTTTGTGAAGTGCACCAGTCCCTCCTGCAGCAAAGCACCCCCACAGCATGATGCTGCCACCCCCGTGCTTCACGGTTGGGATGGTGTTCTTCGGCTTGCAAGCATCCCCCTTTTTCCTCCAAACATAACGATGGTCATTATGGCAAAACAGTTCTATTTTTGTTTCATCAGACCAGAGGACATTTCTCCAAAAAGTACGATCTTTGTCCCCATGTGAAGTTGCAAACCGTAGTCTGGCTTTTTTATGGCGGTTATGGAGCAGTGGCTTCTTCCTTGCTGAGCGGCCTTTCAGGTTATGTCGATATAGGACTCGTTTTACTGTGGATTTAGATACTTTTGTAACCGTTTCCTCCAGCATCTTCCTTTGCTGTTATTCTGGGATTGATTTGCACTTTTCGCACCAAAGTACGTTCATCTCTAGGAGACAGAATGCGTCTCCTTTCTGAGCGGTATGACGGCTGCATGGTCCCATGGTGTTTATACTTGCATACTATTGTTTGTACAGATGAAAGTGGTACCTTCAGGCGTTTGGAAATTGCTCCCAAGGATGAACCAGACTTGTGGAGGTCCACAATTTATTTTCTGAGGTCTTGGCTGATTTCTTTTGATTTCCCATGATGTCAAGCAAAGAGGCACTGAGTTTGAAGGTAGGCCTTGAAATACATCCACAGGTACACCTCCAATTGACTCAAATGATGTCAATTGGCCTATCAGAAGCTTCTAAAGCCATGACATAATTTTCTGGAATTTTCCAAACTGTTTAAAAGCACGGTCAACTTAGTGTATGTAAACTTCTGACCCACTGGAATTGTGATACAGTGAATTATAAGTGAAATAATCTGTCTGTAAACAATTGTTGGAAAAATGACTTGTGTCATGCACAAAGTAGATGTCCTAACCGACTTGCCAAAACTATAGTTTGTTAACAATAAATTTGTGGAGTGGTTGAAAAACTAGTTTTAATGACTCCAACCTAAGTGTACCTAAACTTCCGACTTCAACTGTATACACCTGTTCTGAAAGGCCCCAGAGTCTGCAACACCACTAAGCAAGGGGCACCACCAAGCAAGCGGCACCATGAAGACCAAGGATCTCTCCAAACAGGTCAGGGACAAAGTTGTGGAGAAGTACAGATCAGGGTTTGGTTATAAAAAAATATCCGAAACTTTGAACATCCCACGGAGCACCATTAAATCCATTATTTAAAAAATGGAAAGAATATGACACCACAACAAACCTGCCAAGAGAGTGCTGCCCACCAAAACTCACGGACCAGGCAAGGAGGGCATTAATCAGAGAGGCAACAAAGACACCAAAGATAACCCTGAAGGAGCTGCAAAGCTCCACAGCGGAGATTGGAGTATCTGTCCATAGGACCACTTTAAGCCATACACTCCACAGAGCAGGGCTTTACGGAAGAGTGGTCAGAAAAAAGCCATTGCTTAAAGAAAAAAATAAGCAAACACGTTTGGTGTTCGCCAAAAGCCATGTGGGAG